AGTAGTAGTAGTAGTAGTAGTAGTAGTAGTAGTAGAAGCTGTAGTTGTAGCAGCAGTACCGGCGATGGTGGTAGTAGTGGTAATAGTAATAGTAGAAGTAGCATTTGTAGTAGTAGTAGTAGTGGTGGTGGTGACTAGTAGTAGTAGTAGTATTTGTAGCAGTAGTGATAGTAGTACTAGTAGTACTAGTAATGTTTGTAGTAGTAGAAGTATTTGTAGTAATAGTAGTAGTGTTAGCAGAGGTGTTGGCGGTGGTGGTAGTAATAGTAGTGATAGTAGTACTTTTTGTAGTAGTAGTCGTGGTGGTGGTAGAAGTAGGAACATTAGCAATAATAGTAGTAGTAGCAGTAGGTGTTGTCGTAGTAGTTATTTTAGTAGTTGTAATAGTAGTAGTAGTAGTAAAAGTAGTAGTAACTACTGGTATTGTAGTAGCAGTGGCGATGGGAGTGGTGGTTGTAGTACCATAGTTGTTCTTATAATTTGTGGAATTTTGGTATCTTCATCTTTATCCAATTCTTCAAACTTTCTTTTCAATCAGGATCCACTTTGCTTCCAGTTAGTAATACTTGCATTTCTCTGTATTCGACATGAGACAAATTATTTCGTCTTTTTTCACCCGCATATACATACAAACATTCGATTTACATTCTCTATCTGTTTATTATCGTATTCGTAAGCGCGACATCTTCCCGTCCACCTTCTTTCCCCTTTTACTTTGAAGAACCGCCGCGTCAACACCTACAAGAAAGAGAGATTCCGAAATCCTCCCAACTAGTTCCCTTTTATTCTTTATCTTAAGAATTATAAACAAATACCACCAAGGTTAGTCGAAGCTGTGACTAAGGGCTGGCGCAGCTGACGCGACTGCCTGTGAGGCTCCGGTGGCCGTCAGTAGCCCGTGTCATATCCGCTGTCCAAAGTCGGGAAGCTGACTAACGGTTCTCTCGACCTCCTCTCACAGTCGCTCAAGTGCTATTATTTAACGCCTATGTACTTATTCTATGGTGGATTTAAGGGTGTCTAAGGGGCCTGATCTCGTGCCGTAGGGGGAGGTCTGTGGCGGCGAAGAGGAGTGTATCGAAGAGTCAATACACGGGTGTTATTTATATCTGTTTCCTGTGCGCTACTGTCGATAAGCCGTTGAAGTTACGCTGATGTCAAGCAGTTGGCGCTGGTCCTTCGTGGGTGACGCTTGTGACGCTGGGGGGCAGCAGACCGCCTGGCACTCGCTCGCTTGACCTTTGACCTCGCCTTCCCTGGTTTTCTCGTACTGTCTTTTGTGTTGTGAAGTGAAGTGTGCCGGAAAATGAGATTTAACCCCTGGGGAAAAATACGATGATTTGTTCGCAAGATATCAAATAGAGTGAAAATTGAACAGCAAGGGAAGACAGAAATGCCAAGACTCTTATGAAAAAGACATTCCAATCCCACCGCTATATCTTTTTACCTTAAAAGACGTCTCCCTGTACAAAGAAAACCAAAAAAAAAAAAAAAAAAAAAAAAAAATCCATCCCACTCCACATCTTCTTAAAAAGCGTGTCCCTATACAAACAAAACCAAAAATCCCTCCCACTCCACATCATCTTAAAACCCGTCTCCCTATACGAACAAAAACCAAAAATCCACCCCACTCCACACTAAACCAGAAACCCACACACCTCGCACAGAGACCAGAGAAGCCGCAGCGAAGGATTTAAAGAGCAGGACACGCCCACCTCGCACTCCCTTCGCCCTCCTTCGCCATGCCTGACGATCCGGAGTTCCCGACGGCGCCGAACTGGGCTCTGCTGGTGACCGCCGTGGCTGCCGTCGTCATCTCCATCCTGGGATTCTTCGGTGAGTCATTTTTGTTATGATTATTATTATTATTATTATCATTATCATTATTATCATTATTATTATTATCATTATTATTATTATCATTATTATTATTATTATTATTATTATTATCATTATTATTATTATCAGTATTATTATTATCAGTATTATTATTATCAGTATTATTATTATCAGTATTATTATTATCAGTATTATTATTATCAGTATTATTATTAT